ATGCAGTTACGACTTGAGGACTCTGAGAATCGCAGCCGCCGCAAAACAACCTGCGGTTGCGGGGGATCCCAGAGGCTACAGGGGGCCCTGATCTCAGAGCAGCGGTAACGGCCATCTTTAACTCCCTGCTGGACAGACCCCCGTCTGAACCTATGGAACTGGACCGTGTACACAGGTCTCTGGGCCCTATGGGGACGGAGGCTAACAGACCTAGAGATGTTCTATGTAGAATTCACTTTTTCAATATTAAGGAAGAGATCCTGTGGAGAGCCTGGCGGCAGGGGACGGTGGAGTTTGATGGAGCGGAGGTCTTAATTCTTCCTGACGTGTGTCCCCAGACTTTATATCGTAGAAGGCTCTTGAAACCCCTCACAGACCTGCTGCAAACCAAAGGGATTACCTACCGCTGGGGATTTCCATTCTCGCTTCTGATTGGCAGAGGAGACCGGTTCTTCAGGCTTACGCACCCCCGCCAGGTACCGGAATTAGCTACCTTCTTGGAATGTGAAGACCTGTCACTCCCGGATTGGCTGGAGGTACCTTCCCAGGTTTCGACGATGTCCTCATCCAACAGACCGTCTAGAGCCATGGGGCGTCGCAGAAGTCGTCAAAGATCGGTTGTTCGCCCACCTCAGCGGGCCCGACCCACGGACCCGGAGAGCTAAAGATGATCCCACTTACCTGACGATCCTCCGAACCAGCCGGCTTCCTGGGGACCCCCCGATGTGACTTTCTCCGCACGGTACGGCCTTACCAAGTGGCTAACAGGTATGTCGCCCGAAACATTTGTCTCGGTGATGAGGACTTACTGGCCTTACCTGTCGACAGACTTTCCAGCACCTACCCCGCAGTGGACATATATCTACCTGTGCTCCTGGGTGTCCAGTAAAGCACATTTCTATTCCGGGATGAGGTGGAATCATTCAGTCTAGGAGACCAGTGGGAGATATCGCAGGGCGGGATTGGCGGACCCTGGGCACACACCATGCGGTCGCCTTGTCCCTTCCTTACCTGGGATTTTTATCCTGAACAGACTCCTCACTTTTAAAAAATTATTATTATTTTTTTTTCTCTTAGGTGGGCTTTGTCACACGTCGGCTCAATAGATAGGGAAGTGAGCGAACACATACCGTCGCTCGCTCACTTCTCGATCCTGTCCCTGCAGAGAGCTGTGACTGTCACTCACGGCTCCCTGCATGGATTCCCCCCCTCCCCTGTCCAATCCTCCAGCGCTGACTGGCGGTACGGACGGGGGAGGGGTCAGGTACAGCTGGCTCGCCTCTAGATAGGCAGAGCCAGCTGGCAATCATGCAGCTGGGTGGATCTCAACAGTAATGTCGGGATCCGTCCCGGCTGTGGCGGTCTCAGTATACCGCAAGCTGCAGCTCGCGGTATACTGAGCTTTGGGTCACGGGAGGATGCTAGTTTGTGTCCTTCCGTGACCCTGAGGAGAACTATGGGGGAAAAGCACTGACCCCATAGTTCTCCTTTAAGAAGGGATCTAATTGCAATTCTCAAAGTCATTATTGGGGGTCGCAATATCCGGAATAAAATGTTTACACCAGGAACTATTTTGATAACCCAAGGGCAGGATATAGGCAGTTTAATCTTAGACTGGGGTTTTTTACTTTGAGAGTAGTAAAAATGGGGAATTCGCAACATAGGTTGAACTCGATGGACCTGTGTCTTTATTCAACCTTACCTACTATGTTACTATACATAATTTGGCTCTCCAGCATCTTAAATAGACTTAAATATTTTGATGCCTGAACCATTTTATGATAGACCAGTCTGGCCAGTTACATCAAATGTTTATGGCTAGCTTCAGCTCCCATGTTATCACTATGATGTATTGTGTTTTCTATATCAGGAATGTAAGCAAGAACAAGAGTTCCCATTCTCAGCCTTCATTTTCACCCCGGCCATAACTGATAAAACATCTCACATTGTGGGGGGTAGATTTATTATTATGGTTTGTTCTATAGGAGAACAACAGGCATAACTGGTGAAAAAATGTTATGAGATCATGTAAACAACGATACAATGCATTCTATATATGTAGTAATAGTATTTCCATTGTTGTTATCACAGGGGGAACACATTGTGCTGCAGTGAATATATTTTTCCTACTTAGTACTGTGAGTTTCCTCTCTGTGGGAACTCTCTCTATTTTCCCATCTCCTTTCTCTTTCTCCCTCGTTTTTGTTTCCTCCCCCATCCACTCAGTTTCCTCGCTTTTTCCTCGCTTGTCACCTTTCTCTCTTGGTTTGTGCAAGCTTCTCTTGCCGTTGTGCTCTCCCTTGGCTGGGTTTGGGGACAAACTGTTCTTTAGTTTAGTTTTTTGTTGCTCGCGGGTAGATGGACAGGACTTTTCAGTTTGGGAATGAAGTGGCTTCTACAAAGGACAAAGGACGTCAGGAGAGCTTGTGAATGGAGAGAGTCCCTTAACCTCCTTTTTGCAAGACTGTGCAGTGAATTGATAATGTGTCTGTGGGTGTCCTATGATGGGGTCTAGGCTCTCTGCATTTTACTGCTGCATGCGTTCTTTAATACATTTTATTAATTTTTTTAAAGAGATCTTTATTTCTTAATAATAATGATCCTAAGCTGCTACATCAACAGAAATGGGAGGCCACCATAAAAGTGCAATGCAAGAACTTTTATTGCTAATGAAGGACCAATAAATCTGAAATGCTTTTTATGTTTATCTAAAAGGTATACTAAAGCCATACTCAAAATGACTGGGCCATATAAACATTTTGAAACTTGAATCCCAAGCTTATGATTGTGTGCACACTCATTCATCATTGAATCTCATTTTCTGCTCATGCCTTTTATATTCAAGCAGTGAATTGTTTGCACTATTATTGGTAATTTAGATCTTAAATGACTTAATTTGGAAGATTATGTAGAATATGTATAATTACCAATTACAAACATTGTAATTTTGTTAATATCTGTATGTATTTTGAGATCTTTGACATTTTATCTATTTTTCCTGTGAAGATAAGTGCAAAAAAACTACTGTTTGTGTTTATTGGCTATTTTAGACTTAAAGAGGCTTAACAAAAGCAGACAGCACTTCCACAGCATTACTCACAGGAAATCAGCTCTTTATAGGCAAATGCCATTGATCTCACTAAATAAACCTTTAAATTAAAGGTGAACTCCAAGCAAAATTGAAAATAACCTTGAACTCTATACAGAGACTCAGCCTACCTGTCTTATAGTTTGGTTTTTCATCAACATTGCTGTAGTGCACTAGACTACCCCACTTTTGGGGTTCTTATGATCTGAGAATCCTGCTTAGGATGTAGGAGAGCAATCCAAGACACACCCACTGCAGGTTCCCTGCTGTCTCTCACATATAAAGAGCAAAGTGACAGTGCTAAAACGTTTTTTATAGCCACCCATCAAAGATCTTCAGAAGTTTGAATCTGTTGATTTAGGAAGCAGAGAGAAAGTTACACAGCACAGGTTTTAGGAAGTATATCCCCAGTAAGGTTCTCTCTGGATTCTTACAGCACTGAAATACAGAAAATGCAAGTTAAGTTAGTTTGAGTAAACTTTCTGACTTTAGCACATTTGCATTGTTTATTGAATAGCATAAATAGCTCACTGTTATTTTTTTTTATTTACATGGAATTTTATTTGTTTAAGCTCTTAAAGACATGCCTTTTAGTATTTTTATTTTTAAAGCCCAATTTTGGATTTTTAGTGAAATTCAGCTACATACATTTCAGGTCCTTTAAAACAAGTTAATTTTCCTTATGAAGCAGCCACAGTCTGCAAAGTAGGCAACATTCATGCTCCTTGCTGATTGGAGAGTTCTAGCTCAGATTTAGCAAAGGGTGTGTGACATCTGCAGAGAGACCACTGCTTCCACACAGAAGCAAGGATCCTTCTCTGCAACATGTTGGTAGGGGATAGGTTTTACTACTGAGGCTGTGGCTGCTTTACAAAAAAAGACTTTGCATACCATTTTGTTTTTTTGCACCTAAAATGTATTTAGCCAATTTATACTGACAGTTCAGTTTGACTTTAAAGACAATTTTTAAAATAAAATTAACCTTTGCGTGGGGCTACCCCCACACTTCCAGGGTTACATGCTCATTTGTCTCTAGAGATCAGAATAAAGAAGATATACTCACCTGATCCTCGGTTCTTCGGAGGTCAGCACTCTCCTTTTTCCCTCTCCAGCTATGGTTTGTCCCTCGTCATCCTCAGATCTAATGGAAGTCAATGGACTTGCATTAGACATAACGACGTCAGTGGTGCTCTTGCTCCCCTAGACCAAATCGAGCAGTTACTCTTTGCAGCCCAAGGGTAGCCCCACTGCAATGGTTAGTATTTCAAAATCCTCTTTAAGGGCTTGTTCACACCAAGTGCGGAGCAGATGCAGAGCACTTACAGAACGCATCAAAAAGGCATCCAGTGTATTCCAATGGTATTTTGGGCTCTAGTTCACACCAGGGCGTTCAGTTCCAGAGCAGAGCATGGGCTTGTTCACACCAAATGCAGACCAGATCTGCATGAGTCTCTGCACATGCAGTGCAGTGTTTTTTTGCCGCGTTCCGGGCCGTTTTTGTAAAAAAGAAAAAAGAAAATTTAGCTTAAAATGGGCTTTCAGTGCATTCAAGAGCGTTTGCATCCGTTTTTGTTATGTTTGCATGCGTTCCAGAGCATCCCAGAGCAGGAAAAATAGGGCTTGCTGCAGTTTTTTTACATGCTCTGTTACTGAACGCTGCGGTGTGAACTAGAGGCCAAAATACCATTGGGATACATTGTACGCAGTTTTGATCCGTTCTTCACCTGCTCTGCGCTTGGTGTGAACTATCCCTAACAGTTGCTCCCGGTTTTCTGCCTGATCATTTTGGATTGTTTCCTTTTGTAGCCAAGCACTATGTTTGAACTGTGTGTAAACTACAAATTTGCATGAGAGAGTAAATTCTATTCTATTCTTCTAATTATCTATTGACAACCTTTTTGGGTCTCAACAGGTAGAATACCATCCTTTCCAGAGGCCACACGAGTTGGTGGATTATTGTAAGAAAAATAATATTGTATTTGGAGGCTACTGTCCTTTGGCCAAGGGGCAAGCCTTGACACATCCAATTGTCTTGCAACTCTCAAAGCAGTATGGAAAAACACCAGCTCAGATCTGTATACGTTGGAGCATTCAGGTACAATATTAGCAATAACATTGACCCTTATAACTTATAATATACCAAATCCTGAAACTGCTATCAGGTTTTTTTTTGTCATCTGTGTCTCATTAGGGAGACTTCCTTGCACTTCTTGTTGTACGCTCAATAAGAAGTGGGAGGATGTATTTTCAATGTGAAGAAAATTCCCCTATTAGACAGTTGTCATGGGAACAAGTGTCCCCATTGGAAGATTTCTGTTTTGGTGGCAACTCAACATCTTGGATTTACCATAATTTTCATTCACTGTAACTCTGGTGATCAGGACAGTTAGACAGAGCAAATCTCCATAACAGGTTCAATCCTCTCACCATACTATCCAAGCCTAACAAAAAGTTTTGCCTTTAAAAATGTCAGTAATTACATTTGGTATCTCTTCCACCCCACTACTCAACATCCTCCTACCTACAAGAGTGATTTTATCTTCCTCCTCCTTTCCAACCACTCTGTGTATGCTCAGAGAAGATGTCCTACTGGTTTCCCAGCATAACCAGACACTAGGAGTTGTCTATCCCGGACCCTGCTATATGATTGAGGTACACCTCTTTCCTCATACAGTTTCAAACTCTGAAAAGTATCTGTAGCCAAAACGTTTTCTTTTTAAGTGTTGGAATGAGTAGGGAATAACTAAAACACTTGTGCCTGTGTTGCGTTGGATGTTTTCTTCCCGCTCTCCCTGAGACACAGCAGGAAGTGAGATGAAATCTCTCCAAACTAAGTTTGGGCATAGAAGTTCGGCCATTTAACCAGTGAGGGGCAGAGAGAAAATCACTAAATTCCCCCATCCATGCTAATACCTTGGATGGGTAAATCTCCATTGTAATCAGACAGCCGCATCTCCTGATGCTGCTGCTAATCAGTGACTGCATCTGATATGATGCAGTCACTGTTCGGCTGATAATTTCTATCCAACTCAGTCAATTTTAAATCCTCTTTAGGAATCCTCTTTAGATAGCTATGCTGTTCCAGGGAAAAAGGGAAAATTTTGTATTTCTCATAAATTCACACGTGTTGCTTGCAGGGCAACCCACAGCTCAAATTTTGGCCAATTCAGCAGGAATCAGCTCAAAATTAGCCAGCTTAAGATAAAGTTCCTTTTTATACAGTTGTACTGTTATGGTGAAAATTATGATATTTTGTATTAGTTATCATTTTCTGTCCTTGTGCCAATAGTCACTAAGAGAAGTGAAAAGGGAGAATCTCCCTAGCATGGGCAGAGAGAGCAATGAGAACCTTGCAAGGGTTCTGACTGTTCTCTGATGTATCCAAAACGTAAAAAATGTCTATAGATGCACTTCAATATTAGTTGGGCAGATGACATCACATTCATTAAAAACTGTAGCTAATACATGCTATCCTACTCTATGTTCTGTTGCTTAAAGTTACTTAACAGTAGAGCAAGTCTACCTGTATTGTAACAGTATTTGTTTCTGATCTCCTCAGAATGGCATTATCACTATCCCAAAATCTACGAAAGAAAGCCGAATCCAAGAGAACTGTCAGGTAAGCCTCTCTGGTCATTGTACTACTGTAATAAGTTTGAAAGAGTTGAGCAGTAGGTAGGAACTTGTCATTGTTTATAGTAGAACATGGCTCAAAGTTTTGCAATGTATTTGTCTTGTGGAAACTTAAGCTACCTATAGCTCAAATTTCAGTAGATTCAGTAGGAATCGGCTGAAGTTTTACCCATGGGTGGCCATACCGGTACTACCCGATTCGCTCGAAAATGATTTTTCAACCAGCGTTTGATGAAGTTAACAGATAACAGTGGCCTTGTGTGTGAAAGTGTTAGCAAAAAGAATTGTTTGTAGTTAATTAAAGTATACATCTGTCCTTTACTCAGATGCTTTCTTAACCCCTTAACGACCAGCGACGTCAGTGGAATCGGGGCTGTTTAACTCTGTTTAGACCTGTAAACTTGCTCAGCTGCCTGCCAGATCGCTTCTATGGGCCCGGAGAAGGGGTCCCCCCTCTGCCCGACATCCCCGCCGGGTTTCCCGGACTCTGTTGCCCCTCCTACGGGCCCAGGACCAGCTTGTTTGGTGTCGGCGGGAAGCCGGGGAGGAGATGGACGAACCTCCGTTTGTCAATCCCCTCCCTGTTCTATGGGACCAGGAGCGATGCAGATTGCATCATTTCTGTTCCCATAGCTGTCATTGCTGGGCTCCTGAAGCCCAGCTATAAGCTATTGAAGTGCAATCTGCACTTCAATAGCTTATTGAGAGTGTAAAGCTAACCCTCGTGGTCTTTTGGACCCCCAGCATCAGTTTAAAGAGTGCCTGTCACCACCATCTGCTATCACATAGGGGGGCTTGTAAGCCCCCCTATGTGATATCAATTAAAGTAAAGTAAAAAAATAACAGTTTTCAAAATTAACATAAAATAATGTAAAAAAAATGTTAAAGTCCCCCGCCCCCGTGAGCATGCGCGCCTTCGCGTCGGGTGTGCCTACATATGAAAACAACGAACGCGCTACACATGTTGGGTGTCGCAGCGCATGCCAGAGTGAGAGCAATAATTCTAAGGCCAATATGTTTGGGTATCTCTAAACTGATGACCTGTGGGGGCTTTTAAAGCGTCATCTATGGACTACTGAATTTTGTTGCCGTTTCACGGACACACACAATTTTTAATCAAGGCATGTTGGGTATCTATTTACTCGTTGTAACCTCATTTTTTATATTTAATTAAACAAATGGGTATTTTATTGTGCTTTGGGGCACTAAAGTGCACTTTTCACTAAATTGTGGGGTTTGATAAGGAGTTGCGCTAATATCATGCAACATAAAAATTTGCAACTGCCACTATTTTATTCTATAGGGTCTTTGCTTTCAGAAAATATATAATGTTTGGGGGTTTTAAGTCATTTTCAGGCCTAAAATGTGGAATATAACATGGGTGCAAAAAATAAAAAAAAAGGCCTCATGATTGATTTGTAAAATCTAGTGCAAAGAAGAAAGAAAGTGAGCCTGACAGTTATTTTTGTTGGTTCTCATTAGGTGAAAGCTAACAACAGACTAATTGCCAAACTACTAGTTTCTGTGTAACTCCAGTTTTTATAAATGTCATCTTTTTTAGCATATCATTAACCTAAAAAGAGACAAAATATAGTCATTTAGTTAAACCGGAGGCACTGCATTGCATGAGTGTGCTGGCGTCTGAAGAGTTTACAGCCATATTTTTTTACCAGAATTGCATTTACATGCAAATTTGCACTATAAAACAGCAATTGTTTGACAACTATTTCAAGTGTATGTAAACCCTCACAATTATCTGATTTTATTTGCTCCCTTTTGGTCTGTTAAAACTACAGTTGAAAGCGTTTTATTACATTTGTTTGATAAATGTTGATCCTGTCAGAAATTGGGTGTGCTCACAACTTTCGGCATCTTCTGTATCAGTTAGCGCTGTTAATAGGTATTAAGTTCTTTCTGTGGGCTATAGATCACCTTCCCTATGTTATGGGGAGAGTGGGAGTTGTTCTGTAGTCTTAACACACTTCCTGCCCTAGGGTGACAACACTGCTCGTCCATAGATGCAGTACAATGAGTGAGCGGTGTCACCCTGGGACAGGAAGTGTGTTACAGGCAAGATCGCCAAATGAAAATTAGGAGAAAAGCCTGAAAATGAATCTACTACAGTCATCACATCTAAGGTTTGGTAAGGTACAATATTTTAAATTCTTGTTCCTTTGACTTGTTCCAAAGTTTGCTTTGACAAACTATTTGGAGCAAGTCACACAATGTAATCAAATATCGAAATAATTGATACTGTGTGCAAATGCGCATGTCAGTGTGGCCTTAAAGGAGAACTATGGGGTCAGTGCTTTTCCCCATAGTTCTCCTAAGGGGAAGAACAAGCTAGCGTCCTCCCGTCACCCAAAGCCCAGTATACCGCGAGCTAGCGTCCAACCGTCACCCAAAGCTCAGTATACCACGAGCTACAGCTATTGAGCTACAGCTCGCGGTATACTGAGACGCCGGAACAGATCCCGACAATTCTGTTTGGATCCACCCAGCTGCGTGAGTGACAACTGGCTCTGCCTATCTAGAGGCAGAGCCAGCTGTACCCGCCCCCTCCCCTGTCCTTTCCACCAGTCAGCGCTGGAGGATCGGACAGGGAAGGGAGGGAAATCCCTGCAGGGAGCCGTAAATGACAGTCACGGCTCTCTACACGGATAGATCAAGAAGTGAGCGAGCGCCGGTATGTGTTCGCTCACTTCCCCATCTACTGAGCCGACCTGTGACAGTTTCATTGTCACAGGTCGGCTCAGAATATGAGGCTGAATGAAAATCACTCGCCTCATAATTCTCCTTTAAGCACATATAGAAGGCTGTCAATATTACTGTGAAGAATGCACTTTGGTATCTCTGTGTACAGCTCCAATAAAAGGCAGGAGAAAAATCAAAGGTAAGGATTCTGCAACCAAAGACACTGGGAGACCCTGATTCTGGGGTGTGCAACTACCATACTGCACAAAAAATGTGGCTTTCAATAGAGTCCTTTTAGTGCCAGGGATTTGTACTTTAAAAACAGTGGAGGGAATAAACAAAGACTGCGCACGTGGAAAAGTGTTCCGGCTTTTAAACTAATTATAAAATGTGAAAATAAATATATATATATTCCCTGGTAAGGGGTGCCAAATGAATAAACCAGTGTAAGTAGATTGTTAGTTTGAGAATTAGGGAAATATAAACACAGAATAGAGATTTGGATGCAGAATGTGGGTCGTAACAGTTTTTTTGGGAGCAAAGTAATAATAATAAATGAATAACCATCTTGTGCCCAAATGTGTTTTCGTTGGACAAATTGTAGTCTGAACGTAACTCTTTTCCATTCACTTTCACTCCTAAATTTACCTTAATTATATAACCCTATAATAATTTACCTGTGACTGAATAATTCTCATTTTGCAAATTCAGATTAAGCTTCTTTGTTCCATATATATTTATTTATATTTTTCCAACATTTTCAAAATCATGAACATCTTACAATATAATCCTTTATCTCATTAAATAGTACACTTTTACAAACACCGCACTCTCATTATCCGATTAAACATTTCTATTTCTCATTTTCATATACCAGCTTGCATCTGGAGTACTTTTTAGAGGGTTTTAAAAAGGACGTGACACAAAGTTTTCTGAGGTTTTCTTTTATGGAAATGACGCGTCTGACTTTTGTTAATTTGGCGCAATTGACACACATATATCATCTATCATACTAGCAGGGATCCCAACCTGAAAAAAGTAATTTCAGGGAGGTGCCATTCTCATTTCAGGGAGGTGCCCCCCCCCCCATCCAGGGGGTGGGGGGGAGAGCACCCCCCATGAAATTATGGCAGATAGCACAAAAGCTAATGCTTCCCGTGCTATCTGCTGGGTTTTTTTTTATATTCTGACAGCTGCTGCCGTCAGAATAGAAAAAAAAACCAGCATAGGAATGAATAGCTAGATTTTTATTGGCTATTTCAATTCGCAAAATCCATTAGCAAGCTGCCTATTGCACCCTCCCTCTGACTTCAGGTCCACCTCTGCTGATTGACAGCAACAGTGTGCAGGTGCAATACCTAGTCTGCTATTGGCTAGTGCAAATTCAAATAGCCAATAGCAATCTAGCTATTAATTTCTATGCTGTCTTTTTTTCTCTCACTCTGACGGCGGCCGGCAGCACCGATATCAGAGTAAAAAAAAAACAGACAGCAGGGAAAGGTTTACTCTGCTAGATCAAGCAGAGTAAACCTTTCCGGGAGAAAATGTTTATCTGTCGGGCAGCCGGGAGCCGCTATCTAATAGCAGGAGACTCCCGGAATGTCCGGGAGAGTTGGGATGTCTGTACTAGGGAGTCTATCGGCTAACTAATCGATTTTGAAAATAATCGTTAGCTGCAGCTCTAGTCTTCAACCCTACTGTCCACATGACATTATTTTATAGGTCAAACAAAAACATTTCCATCACACTTTCCAGCTTGCTTGCAAAAAAACAAAAGTTACACTGTCTAACAATTTCCATTAAAAGTTGAACCACTTTTGCAAAATATGTGGAAGCCACAATGCATCCTCAAGGCTCCTTTGTGCAGTGAGGTCTTATCTATGAGAGCCTCTATCTTGGAGCTTATGTAGAAAAGAATATATTGGGTGCAGGTATGCCTGGAGGTAGCCCATTCCTCCTAAAAGGCACAGGGACACACCAGACGCCCTGCACATCACAATGGCAGCTGAAGCCCCCAGTGTGTCCCCACACCAGATTTTTGTTTAGCTCACTGAATTATTTTATAGGCCTCATTTATAAAGCAACCAAATAACAAACCTGTCACTACAAGATAAGATTGACATAGCTAAGACTCTGTATAAATGTCTCCAATGTGGCCATTATCAAAAGCCAAACAGCTGCTTTTTCAGTTCTCTGAATCATAACAGGAAAAATACACAAATGTTGTCATCGTGTCCTGTGGCCTAAAATAACAGTGAGACAGAAGCACTATCACAAAATGTTAGCTTATATTGTTATATTGTTTTCACTCAGAAATTAGTCTATAGAAAAGTTGTTTTACAACGATTCCGCTATCAGATCAGTTTCAAATTGGTGTCTAAGTGTTCTGTAACATGCAAGGCTCTAGAACACAGTATATTCCAGAGCAGTCATAGCTGGGTCACTGCAGGACTCATCAAATGGTTTAATATGTAGCCAGAAATGGGCAATTGCTTTTATAAACTCAAAATTGACCTACTCTTCTTCTTTATTATGTATATATGTAATCAGATCATATACAGAATATGCTTATTGATGTTGTTTTATCCTCATATGCTTTATACTTATGTACAACTGCTTGAGTTCAGTAAACAGAATTAAAAGGTAATAAACAGAAGTAAGAGAATAGTGTGGCCACCTAGAGATCTTTTATTTATATTATGTAAATACCTAAATGCATACGTGTTATATGTGTGTTTCTATGTCTTTTAATCCAGATTGCTGTATGTAAAATGACATTGAAAAACATCAGGCTATTTGCCAGAAATGTCGGTTTCAACCGCCATATTTTCTTAATGAAGTTGTAGCCTTATGTGATTTTCTGTTACGTTATGTGATTTCATTCACATTTTTATGTTTTTGGGTCTAGGTACACTTTAGGGGGAAGGCCAGTCAGAAAAAGCAAAGTTAACATTAATGTGGGTGCAGGCTACATGTAAATGATTTTCTTTTCCCTGTAGCAAATTATTTATTTTATCAGCTGCTTCATATATGACATTTTTAGCTTGAAGGATGAGACTAAACTTGCTAAAAAAGCTTTTCGTTCTCAGCATGGCCACTGCCCTACCTCCTGACCCATACCTTCATTCAGTGTGTTCCCTAAACACATTCTAAGCCACCCACAGTGCGGCCAAATACAGTAGTGCCAGAGCTGTTATTAAGAAAGCCCTTGGATGGCTTTTCCAGTTTTCTAACTCATTTTGTGCACAGTTGCATTGAGTTCTTAGGTGCACCCATTTATTGGACTGCCACAGTTTTCCACTGAGTGTTTATATACAGTAAAGTTAGTTATGCTTGCAAAAAAACATTTTCACATACTACTAAAACCAGGGCTGTAGATGTTTGTGGGTTACTAAGTGACAAAATACATATTGATCTCCCAGGGGGCTCATATATCAAGCTGTCATAGAATGAAAATAGCAGAAGGGGCACGAAATGTCAGAGACAAATATATAAAGTTGTCCCAGACAGTACTTTTCTTGGGTAACTCCTTCCTCGCTCTATGTTTCTTGAACTCAGGGCTTCTAATTTATTGACATCTACAACAGAAACCTCTTCAAACCAAGAGTTGTACCAAATATATTTTATGCATGAGCCCCGCTATGTGTATTTGTCTGTTCTAGCCTGTAGTGTATATAACTCTTGTTTTTGTCCATCTCACACACTAACCTTCCTGCGTCTCCTCAGGTGTTTGATTTCACACTAGCAGACAAGGATATCCTCTCCTTAAACTCCTTGCATGATGGGCGGCACGTGTCCTGGGATCCTTCCGATCTATTGTAGCCTCACAGGTTTGGACAATTTACTAATGACACTTATTATTATTTATTGCCGTAACCTCCTAAATATCAGGGCAGACTCAATGCACGATTCTACACTCTGCCAAACACTTTGGCAGACATATGTTACAGTGGATGTCAAAGGTTAATATGGCCTCACATTCTGCTATCCCCAGATGACCCATGGTCTGTTCTTCTATTTCTAAATATTTTCTTGAAACTAGGTCAGATATTAAGCTAGACAAACATATAAGAACTAAACCTTAATAACTGTCCATTTCTGTGGAAGCCTCCACTGTGATAAGTCTGAAATGTAGGAATTAGGTTGGATTTGTATTAGGGATGCACCAATACTTTTCGAGTACCAGTGCCAATACCTGGCATTTTCATGAGAACTACCAGGGTTGCAGCTGGGACCTGGCTCTGGTGCTCCACCACTGTCCTGAAATCATTAGTCAATATTGTTTTAGAAAATCTGTCACATGACAATAAACAAAAATGTATCAGTACTTGTACTTGCAAAAATGGTATCTGTGCATCCCTTTATTTATATTTATAAAAACAAAATCATACATTAAAACAGAGATGCACAAATCCCAGGAGCTCCGTGGGCTCCTTACAAATGACAGCTGCCTCCTAACTTTTAAATTTTTCTCTAGTCCGGTCTTGGAGCTCGAAAAGTATCTGTACTTGTACTTGTACCGAGTACGTTACTTGGTTTCGGTGCATCCCTAATTTGTATGCCTAAAACTAAGCCCATGGTGGCCAATTTGGATGGATGGATGGAGAGGATAAGTCCCACATAAATACACAAATAGACTCCTCGAAAGGAGTAGAGGATCAGGAGGCTTTATTTAAGCACCACGTACAACGGCAACCAAATGCTTTGACATGTTTCACTCTGTTGCCTTTAGTCATAAGGCCTCATGACTAAGCGCAACAGCACGAAACACATCAAGGAATTTTGTTGCTGTTTTGAATACCGACTGCCAGGGCTCTACTCCTTTCATGCACTCTCTTTGTGTATCTAGATATTGGATTTACAGCCTACCAAATCTGGAGAGTTGACAGTCAGGAAAGAGTGTGGTTGCTTGTCAATGCCTGAGTGGCAGCAGCAGTCCATTTTAATTATGGATGGAGGTAAGATTCTCTCTACCATTAATTCTTTAAAGATTATGGAAGCTGTGCAAAACAAAAAGGCAAGCAGAGGGCAAAGGACTAATCACTAACAGGGGCGTAACTACAACATTCTGAGGCCTCCTCCTATATGTCTGACATCAGCTCTTCTTGATTGGAAATTTCACAAGGGGTACAGGGCCAGTGTCAACTGAAACCTCTGCAATCCTTAATGATACAGTGATGGATATGTGCCATCTTCACATAATCATAGATTTTCTATGCTTACATTGCCTCAACAACCCCCCCATGGGGCCCCCTTCCACCCGCAGGCTTCATGGGTGTTGTCACACTACTGATCCTCAGTATTCCCTGTGCTCTCCTGAAGCTGATCTTCTCCCTATTACTAACTTATCATGACTTGTTCTGCAATGTGTCTTTTTGTAGAGGCGTCCATCTTAGTAGTGGTGAGGGTTTGCTTCCTCATGTCAGAGCCTGTAGGTGGAAGGGGGCCCCAAGGGTGTTGTAACACTACTGATCACCAGTATTCCCTGTGCTCTACTGTTGCTGATCTTCTCCCTATTACTAACTTATCATACCTTGTTCTGCACTGTGTCTTTTTTTAGAGGCGTCCATCTTAGTAGTGGTGGGGCTTTGCTTCCTCATGTCAGAGCCCCTAGTAAAAAGAACAGTGAGAAGCAAAGTACTGACATCAAACTCAACATCCCCTGAAACTAGCAGTTAGAGGTGGCAGTGCCTTGGATCTCACGCTGCAGATATACAGCTATGAGACTGCAGATACAGAAGTATCTAGACACCCTCTCATACCAGAAAGTGCACTCCTTTTTTTTAGGAGGAAATTTAAATTTTTCAGGATACTGCTTAGATACAGTTAACATTTTGAGGTGTTCCCTATAACCTAGCAAATCTTCTCTTTTTTAGTTTAGGTTCACTTGTAAGTAGATCAACTTAGGGCTGCAACAACTAATCGACATAATCGATTATAATCGATTATTGAAAAAGTTGTCAACTTTTTCAATAATCGATTAATCGGCTTCTGATCAGTTGGCCCTGTTCACAGCTCCACACGCTGTGCACCACACCTCCTCCCCACCTCACGCTCGCCGCTGCCAGACCCGCTCGCATCCACGCTCCACACGTCGCACCTCCTCCCCGCCTCACATTTCCTGCCCATCCACATCCATGATCGGCACAGGGACGCGGGGAGATGTAGTAAAGAGGAGCAGGTGTGGGGGTATGGCAGCTGCTGATAGACAGGTCCGATCTCAGAAGCACGTTGCTGGAAGACTGCACTTTCCCACACATGGTGCTCTATAATGTATTGCTGGGATTTGTATTTCTCTATAGCTGATGGTACATTGTGCTGTATATTATACAGAGGAATACAAATCCCAGCAATACATTATACACTGTATGTATAATGTATTGCTGGGATTTGTTGTACTCCTCTATAGCTGGTGATATTCTGCATTGCGCTGTATAGAGGACTACAAGTCCCAGCAATAATACATTATACAGCGCAATGCAGAATACCACCAGCTGTAGAAGAGTACAACAAATCCCAGCAATAATACATTATAAAGTGGTACAATGCTAAATACCACCAGCTATAGAGGACTACAAAACCCAGCAATAGTACATTATACAGCGCAATGCAGAATGCCGCCAGCTATTATGTACTATTGCTGGGATTTGTTGTATTCCTCTATAGCTGGCGGTATTCTGCATTGTGCTGTATAATGTGCTTTTGCTGGGTTTTGTAGTCCTCTATAACCGTTGCCATTCTGCATGCATTGCTGTATAATTTTACACTTTCCATTTCACTATATTGCACACCACACTATCTTTTTTTCTTTTTTACTTCCACCGGTCCAAGCTTGCTCCTGTGATGGACTACAACCTCAATACAAACTAGTAGTCCCATCACTGGAGCCATTTTTTAAACTTTATTTTATAGTTTATCCGATTAACCGATTAATCGAACTTAATAATCGGCTAACTAATCGATTTTGAAAATAATCGTTAGCTGCAGCTCTAGATCAACTTGTAAGTTCCCTAACCTTCAGACTAAAGCTGGGTATACACTGTTAAGTTATTTTTATTCAGTTTTCGGGTTGAACTGAAAAAAATGTAAGATTTCTCCATCCAAGCTAAACAGCATGGATGGAAGCGTGTCTTGCTGCGGTTATAGTATTTTGACAGTTGGCCACTGATATTTGGCCACCATTTACTAAGAATTGGCCGAAATTAGCTCAGTGTATAACCAGTGTAAGACTCAGAAGATTTCATGTTCTGATACAGTTTAAATGCAATTAGAATTGGAATTTGGTCATGGAGCTACAACAGTTTTAGAGTTTATTATTATTGGATTGAGTGCTCCACAGTAGCTTCTAAATAGGAGGAGAGAATATCTACTTCTTTGTTACTGCAAAGAGGCATTTGAAGCAGAATGCATTCTTAGTAGAATTAACTAGTTATTATTACTATATGAAACAAACCTTGACCGTTTCCTATGCATAAAAAGTTAAAAAAATTTTTGTTATTATTGCAGTAGCCAGTCGTCCTCATGCTATGCGTTTCCACTTTTCAGTTAGGATGGGCAGTTATGTCTAAAGATGCCCTTAGTTGCCATTCATTTCAAAAATCACTCTTTCACAGAACAGTGTTTTTTTTTTTTAATTCACCACAAATACATTTAAAGCACTGATGCAAATGAGTGATAAGCCCGTTATAAACACGTTAACCATAAAGTTTCCTATTAGCAGTACTACTGACTTTGTTATAAGCTGTGGTTTTGTGAAACGTAAGATGACGTATGATATTTTGTGGCTGAATAGGAAGCTATTTAAAATAACATAAATGTGAATTCAAATTTTCTTTAACTGAACATGTTTGTGAACCGTAAGGCTACATTCACACAGGAGGATGGAGATACCTGTGGCAAGAACCAATAGATTTTTGCAGCAGGAATCAAGAGGTGTACAGATTAGGCCTCTATGCCCATCCAGGTTAATGATAGGCTGACAGCGACCAGCTCTGTCAGCAGCAGTCCGCAGGTAATGGTTCATGTAATGATTACAGTTCAGGATAGATGATTGTCCCTGGAAGAATTCTGTCTGCATCCAAGGGCAATCATCTATCCCGAATCGCAGGTTATTGTTCCATAAACAATTACATGTGGACTGCCTCTGACAAAGGCGGCCACTGTCAGCCTGTCAGTAGCCTGCACAGCGGCCACATCTGTACAGACAGGCCTGGGATCCCTGTGGCAAGAATCCGTAGGTTCTTGCTGCAGGAATCCCCAGCTGCAGCCCGAAGCCACATGTGAATGGGGCCTTAGAATTAACTTCTCTGATTTTCTGCCTTTTAAGTATACAACTGAAAGTGTTTTTTTATATCTGCTCTATAAGTGCAATAAATACCTATTGATATGCCAGGAATCCAGTGAGCTTGTGACTGCCTATAGTGAGCTGACAACACATTGCCTGTGTTTTGGAATGTCCCAAGCAGTCTTATCAGCCCTACCCAGTTCTGTGAACTTCAGATCAGATGTTATATGTACTACAGAACACCCAACTCTCTCCTCATCCCTATAAGGATCAAGCAGCCAATTGTGACAATGCTGCTTCTCCAAAGAAACAGTACAGTGAGTTGTCACCCTAGTGCAGGAAGTGTGTTATTGTCAACATAACATGGTAAAAAAAGGAAAAAAGCCCTAAGCAAAAGAGAAAACTAAAGCAGCCACCACATCTAAGGACTGGGACACTGACATATATAAAATTCTTGATCTTGGGTTTTGATGCACTTTTAAAGTCAAAAGTGAAACCATGAATGCACTTAAAGATTAATAGTTCATAAGACATTGGGGTTGATTT